CTGAAACAAATATGTGACAAAAAACGTAGAGAACCTTGAAAAATACACAGATGTCTACCTTACACATCGCTTAAAATAAAAATTCTCAAATCAGACTTTCAAACTGACAATGTCACCCTGAACGTAAACAAATTACTAGTTCCAACCTTAAATTTAGCCGAAGCAAGAACAAAAGATGTTGATACTAAAATTATAATGAGCAACTTACCAATTAACAGATAAAAAGAAAGAACTCGTAAAAAACTATTTTTTTAACAGACCACTATGAAGCTAGCCATAAAAACAGGTGCTAACAGAATTGAAACGAAAGTGACTGGTTCCCTTTGGAATAAAAAAACTCGACTTCGAAAAAATTAAGAGTTAAAAAATCTTAAAACTTCTGCTATCCATGTTAACCACATCCTACCCGTAGAGTAAACAAGTGATGCTAAAAAGAAAATAAAAAATTTGAAAGGATGGACAAATCAATACCCAAACTGTTGAACATCCTTTCAAACTCAGGCTATCCCACCATACTGGTTTTATAAGAAGCGTAATTTATACTCAAATAATATACCGCGAACGCCTGCTCCAAACCCTTCAGAGGGATTTCAAGAGAGTTGACGTATATTTCCATAAGTGATGGGAAAAGACTTCGGAAGGAAACAGGAAGGCGTAAACGATTCTGAAAACTTTCAATCGCAAAAGAACGAACAGAAGGAAGCACACGTGCGGGAGTCACATCGGAAGGATCCAGAAGGTCGCCAGAATGTAACGATATATTTAGAGTGCAAACCTAGAACAGTCAAGAAAGAAATTAAACTATTGCAAATGTGAAGAAAAAAGGTACAAACGCTCATGAATCGAAAATTTTTAAAGACTTTCTAGAAAAAACTGAAGGAAATAAAAATGGAGAAACAAAATAAATAAAGTGGATAAACTACTTACATCTGCATGTCTGAGAAAATGATTGTAAGGATCAACAGCAGGGTTGAAACCGTTCACAGTTAAAACAGACAGATGTTTGACAAAGATTTCTGGGTTTCCTGAGCAAATACGTACGAAGGCTTCCCGCATTTCTCCTGCCAAACCATTGATACCTTCCATTTCGTTCAGTAAATCATGATTCGTTAGCGACAGTTTTTCCAAGTTAAACTAGAAACAAAAATAGATATTTTAACCCCTTCCAAAATCAAAATGAGTGGTAATACAGATAAAAACCAACCCTCGCCCTACTACTGAGAGCGCCTTCAAGCTCTGAAACACCAATGAAGCCAGCTATTTTCAAAGTATTGGCACACTTTGCCATCAGAAGACTTAGTCGATCGGTTCTAAGACCACCACGACGACCACTAATCGTTACGGTTTCCAAATGTACTTTGTCTGAAACTCCCTTTTTAATAGTGTACTAAACTTATGGACAGACCCGACTCTGAAGAAAATGTTGTGAAGGACGGCTTGCAAAAAGCCACTAAATTAAGGGTCTAACCATTTAAAATTGTTAAAACAAATTTTGATAAACTAACCGCATTGAAGTAAGTAGTCCAACACAACATTCAACATGCTGACAGATGACCCACAAAACTTAATACTTAAGTTCCTCAACACGTCTATCCTCGAAATTATGTATTCTACACATCCAAGCGCCTAAATTGAAACCACGTCTTCTAAGATGCCATAATAAATGTGGATTCAATAACTTATTTAAAACTCGCTAGTTCTTTTCGCAGCCGAAATGGAATAAGATACTCATGTCAGATGAAATATGAACAAAGAAAGCAGCTAACAGAAAAATAATAATAAAGTGGGATCATAACTGGAACCAGTATGTACTTCGTCACATCCCCTACCTCGCATTTTCAAATTCCGATTCTTAACACAGCAGACAACTACTGTTTTTGAGATCAAATTAAATAGTAACATCTAATTCCACACCTGCTCGTTGCTTCCCATAAAGGAACCCTGGATAGTTATCCCTTCTGTGTTACCCATTGGTACCTCCAAAACTAGATCATTTATTTTAGATAGATAACGTCTCGTCCAGTGCCGCCAACCGGAACAAATCTCCTAAACAAAGCGCACCAATATTTAAGAACAAACTCTTTGAAAAATTAGACGTTTAAATTATTTGCATATACTAAATTCTGGAAAATGAACCTCCGTTTCCCAATCGAACTCATAATTAAAATATTTCACCCTCTAGTATGAAGGCTCTTATCCGCAAAAAAAAAAAAAAAAAAAAAAAAAAAAAAAAAA